GAATTTTAGTTTAATAGGACAGAGGGCCAGACCACCAGCACCCGAGTGGTAAAGTCGCTGAATACTAGATATTCAGTTCAGGGTTCAAATCTTGCCGAATGTGCTGGCTGCATGGGCGGTTTCATGGTTTTTCTCAAGTGTAATGTGTTTAAGAGCCAGTTTCCCTTTGAAAGTCCTCCACGAGAGCATCCCTCCTGTTAAGCAGATAGCACTCGAGTGCTTTGAATAATTAAATAAACCAAACCAAACCAAGGGAAAAAATATCACTAAACCAAAGGCACTAAATCATGCTACTTGGCCTATGTAAGAACCTAAAACAGTATTAAAATTAATACACTGCATTTTTGTGGATGCCAATAGCCTCGTATTTAGCACACATTTCTAATTAGCATCTATATTCCCCAAAGCCTTTTATCATTTGAGCAAAGGATCTTTTGTCAAACTTGTGACTATCATACATTTTTCTGGTGGATTTGAAACTGTGTAACTTCACGTTTTCTTAAGTCAGGGATGAATATTCCATAACATGTGAAGAAAACATATATTTATTTTCTCATATGTCGAACTTTTTTCAGTATTATACTCAAATATAAGACTTCATGCTATATTTAAAGTTTATATATATATATCAATATACCAGAGTCTGATCTTTACATTAAAAAAATCACATCACAGGAAACTAAATTTGAGATTAACATTACATGCATGATATTCAAATTTATACAATTTTAATTTCAGCTTCATCGTTATTCATTTCCTAGATTAAATCTTAACGTGGACTATTTAGATATGTTATATCCTACACTTACAAAACACTTCCTTCCCTGCAAAAAAAGGGACCCACCAGCGTCGAGCGGTAAAGTTGCTGAACACTGGTAGTTCGGTCTGAAGTTCGAATCCCGCGAACAGGCTGGCTGCATAGACGTTTTCATGGTTTCCCCCATGTGTAACGTGTATACAAGCCAGTTTCCCTTAGAAAGTCCTCCCTGAAGGCACCCCTCTGTTTAGGCAGATAGCCCTCGAGGCATTGCCATAAATCACATAAACCAATTCAAACCCTGCAAAAAAGTTAGGAACAGATTATCATTTTAACACAGTAAACCTTTTCTTTGTGATCACTTCTGAAACTGACTACTTCTCCTCAATATGCAAATTCTGGTACTGAACATCTTCTCTTTGAAATGACAAGCTCTACACAAAATTAAAATCATGTAGAACTGCTGGTGGTCATCTTAGAGAGGGTTCACTGTATTTATTAAAGGTCAGAAATTTATTTAACTATTTATGAAAATGCAAATTAATCAACAAAATCTGGTATTAAGTACTTTGTTTCTGTAAGCATAATTAGTAACAACTTCAGAGTTTGGTTTAGTGTGTATGATGACAATTTATTACATTAACGAATGTCATTTCCTAGACGGATATGAAGAATTTCTTTTGAGGAGCTGCTTTGCTTGGAAGGTTGGTTTGGTTTGTTTGATTATGGAAAGCATGCAAGGTCTATGTGGGAAGGATGTCTTTGTGGAGGATTTTCTAAGGGAAAAACTCTCATATCCATATTACACATGTGAAAAGCCAGATAAGTGCTCATGCGGCCAGCCTGTCCAATTGGAATCCAACTCAGATCGAACTATCAGCGTTCCAGTCACTTTACCGCTCAGCCGCTGTTGGGTTGTGTGTGGAGGGCCATAAAGGAGAATAATTACATGCACTGAAAACTGAATTCTAAACTAAATGTATAAAGAAAGCAATGAAAATTCACTTATCAACACTAGTTCTTTATTAAATTAAAATACTGCATAAAGTAAATTTATAAAAATAAGCTATTGAATGACAAATTTTCTGTTAACATATTTAAGCCATGTGTAAGGAGTAACAGATTAATTATTTCTAATATTATTAGGTAATTTTAATTTAATCTTGTAAAGGAAATCTTATAAAAATAAAAAACAAACAAAAGCTTCTTTAGAGAAATTATTCTACTATTAAAAATCATATACTACTGGAATTAACTCACTTTATCCAAAATTAAATAAATGCATTTTTAAATGATAAATCAAGTTGTGTATAAATATTAAATATGAATACAATCATCTTAATTATTTTAAAAAAAACTGAATGTGAAGATGTGAAAAATTAAGAGAAAAAAGCTTTCTAGATTATTTGCTACAAATCTGACATTCTGAAAAATGAATGCACGCCTACACACACACTATTTATATGCATACACATGCATATTGATAAATATAATTTACATATGATTATATATTGAAAATATATGTATGTGTGTATGCGTGTGTATACACACTCATGCATATAGAGCGAAATTTTGTAAAGTTTCAGACATAAATTTATATTCCTTCTGGAACAGTAAGGAAATAATACTTTAAAGGAAAATTAAATAAAAAAAAAAAAAAAAAAAAAAGTATCAGTAGAACAAATTTACATTGCAGTGTAAAAATGTTTTTCATTCAAACAACGCACTTCCTAACGCCGAATGCCCACCAGCGCCGAGCGGTAAAGTCGCTGAAAACTGGTACTTCTGTCCGAGGTTCGAATCTCGCGAACGGGCTGGCTGCATGGACGTTTTCGTGGTTTTCCCCGTGTGTAACGTGTATACGAGCTAGTTTCCCTTAGAAAGTCCTCCACGAAGGCATCCCTCCATTAGGCAGATAGCCCTAGTGTGCTTTGCCATAATTAAATACACCACCTAACGCCGAATAGCAGAATGTAAACAAATGTCGGCTCAGGCAAGGCGTCAGAAATGTGACATCACTCATGTGGGCGGAGTTAATGGTGACCCTTATCTGCATTGTCATTGGCCAAACTCAAGCCGTTGTCCTAGCAGTGTACATTTTGCTTATATGCTGCCGGTTGGCCACACCTTTCTTACCTCCATGCTCGTAGCTCCTATGATGGCTGCCGTCGCTTCCTGGAGTCGCTGCGTGTTGGCTCCTTTCTTGCTTCCGTTTGGGTTTTTTGCTTTCTTCGTCTGTTCTACACCATTCATCGTACTGCCATATAATTGCTGTGCCATAATTGCTATCTTCTACTCCAATTTTACTGAATAGTGGCTACTTCTGCATTGTTATCACTACTTAATTACACCATGCCCGCAGAAATAAATCTCTGCCCTAAATATTTCCTAGCGAAAATTTAATACTTTACGTCACTATGATTAGTGCCATATGCCAATGAGCCTATTAATCTGTAAAATCTTTCCTATCCGCTTTCTGCTTTGGTGTTGTATTTATGTGTTATAAAAATATAAAAATACCTCTGGCCCACCAGCGGCCGAGCGGTAAAGTCGCTGAACACTGGTAGTTCGGTCCAAGGTTCGAATCCCGCGAACGGGATGGCTGCATGGGTGTTTTCGTGGTTTTCCCCATGTGTAACGTGTATACGAGCCAGTTTCCCTTAGAAAGTCCTCCACGAAGGCATCCCTCCCCTTAGGCAGATAGCCCTAGTGTGCTTTGCCATAATTAAATACACACATAAAAATACCCCAAAAAATTATAAAATTAAAAAATGCAAAAAAAAGATTAAAGCCAAAAAAACTCCCCCCCCTAAACTTTCTCTAGATAATGTTGCTCCCTCTAGTGGGCATTATGATAACTATTTATGCATTTTTCCTATTTCTGCTCACTACTTAGATATTTTCTGATGTGGATGTACATAGTTTTGAACCACTCCGTGATTTTATAATCATTAGCATTGGCATTTGTCGTTGCCTTCCTTTTGGCTGCCGGAATTTCGAGTTCCATTTAATTTTGCTCGGCGTTGCTGCTGCCCGTGGCATCTTGATTTTCTTGCAAAATACTTTTAAATATGTCCATTTTATTTCTATTATAGTAAGATTTAATTTGATCCACATTTGCCGCTACTTGTTCCCAGTCTCTCAAGTAGTAGTACAAGTAGAGTACGGCTTTTCTAACTTTTTCGACTAACATATGGGTCCATCTGAAACTTGGGACAAAATTTGGCAACTCGCTCGTCACCTGGCGATGATTGGAAGTGCTTCCTCTCCCACTCGATAATTTACTTCCCTCGGCCTCATTATCATAATATTTCTTTTTTTTTTTTTTTTTTTTCCTTGCCCTATCTGAACACGCAGCTGCTTCCATCTAATAGTTTCTGGATATCTTTCATTTGGGATTTCAGGGGTCTCTTCTGTACAAAAAATTATTTGTCCAATGGTGTGCCATTAACTTTCGGCCTAAGAATAACTCGGCCCCGTAGTATCATGCATCGCTGCTCGTTATGCGTAGACTAACTCATTGACACCGCTATCTCAGCGCTTGTGATAATTTCTCATGTAATATCATATTATTTTCACTATGTTCTTGTTTACCCGTTCTGCTATGTTCATAAAGTACCATTTTTATGTGGCGTATGCCACGTCCTGTATATAGCCCTTCAAATATTTGAGAAACAAAAAAATTCATCGATGCATGATTTCAAAATTTGGTATACTTGAAGACATTGTAAACTTGCCTTGAAGGGTCGTCTCCTACACAAATTTGATAATTTTGAACAATTTAAGGTTTATTTATTTCTCCTTAAATGCCATTCAATGATATTCTTTTGTAATTTAATGTTGTACAACAGTCTTTAATTTATACTTTTTCTGAAAGTATTTCCTGTTCTGGTTCGGTTACTTGATCTACTATTCTTTTTGGTAATATTTCTTGTTACTGCACATTCTGACCTTTTTCTATGTATACAAAACAGGTACACACCTTTTCCATATTACTGCATGCTTTAGTAAATGTTGTTGCAGTCATTTCTAATTTATAACGGATTTACATTTTAATTTTCTTTGGGGGGCACAATAATATGTAAGCATAACCTTTCTCACCAGAAAGCGTTCCTAAATGGCAATGACACTGATTTTTACTCCTTATCAATGATTCAAATGCAACAGAGTAATCAACTATTCAGATGAATAATATTTATTTGCAGAAATATTTGTTTCAAAATATGAAATCAAACATACATACTTCAAGCAATTCTGTCAGCTCTTTGCGTAATATTTTTATTTTCTCTTTGACTTGATTCAGAATGACATCGCTGGTTTCATTTCTTTCATTTATGTTATGAAACAGCTTAAAAATAAAATGCAGAAAAAAAAATATTAGTTCATCAAGCTTATCTCAGTATCTACAAGCATTTAAACAAAGGCAGTCACACTATAATAATATAGTAAATAATGATTCAGTTGCGAGAGATTTATTACTATTACTATTTTAGGTTAAAAAGAGAAACAACCCATTAGATAGGCGACTAATGGGTTATTATCAAATTTGTATTTTAGTTTACATAATTTTTACGTCTTTAAAAAGCCTAATATCTGCGCTGAAGCTGCAAAGAAGAAATAAAATTTAATTACAAATCAATAAAATTATTGTCTCCTACGGATCGAAGAAAAATCGTAATCTTTAATGCTATTGAGGGAAAAATGTATCTCCTAGAAACAGAAATAAAAGCTTGAACAAAACAAAGACATAAAAAGGAAATTAAAAGCATTGCAATCGAAAATTTCCCAATAAAAATCTAAAAAGACTCAATCAAAATCAAAACAAATCCTGATAACAACAAAAATACATAAAAAAAAGGAACAAAATTAAAATCTATTGAACGTTATCAAGAGGAGGTCGATCAGATCTCAATTGAATCAATTTTCCAGGAAAACCGCTGTGTTTTTGCTCACTCAAAATTAGCTGATGAACCATTTCAAATTATTTAAACACTCATCCGAAAATTTTGAATGTCTCTTTTACACAGTCGTCCTTCTATCAAAAATACATAAAAACAAATTCAAATTAAAATGAAATAGATTCAGTTTGCCTAACAAAGCAAAAAGTAATGCATACAATTACTAATATTAAAATTTAAACGAAAAATGTTATTAAAACTTGAGAATTCAATCAATATTTAAATAATTAACAAAAAGTATAAACTTATGCGTAATTGAAAACAAAAGAAAATGATTAAAAATGGGGAAAGTGATGCCTAGGGTTGCTTTTTTGCGCAATTAGCGACTGAAAATTTGGCGATGGAAAATTTTTAATCTCCTAAAAGGTGAATTTATCAAAAGATTTTAAAAAAAAATAATTTTAAAATTGGAAAGCATTAAGGTATTCAAGAAAGAAAAAGAAAGAAAGGGCAAATGTTAAAAAAGAATAAAAATTTCACACCATGGTCTTATCCTTCAGTACATAAAAGTATACTTAAGAAAAATTATTTCAATTGTGGTTCTTTCCTTGAGGAAGTGACCGTGACTCCTGCAACGCGCTTTGATTTCATGAACAAATTACCAGACTTTAATTTCAATTACTCGGAAGCATCCTTCCTTCATAGCCAACAATCAGTTGGCGGTATTTTGCGCAAACGCACAATCAACAAATTTTTAAAACTCGCTGCGGTAGTTTCCGCCTCGCGTCAGATCATTTTGAATTAAGCTTCATATCAGACCGCCAAACTTTTACATTTATACAGTGAACTAATGATGTATTTAAAAAAATGTTAGTTCATCAAGCTTATCTCAGTATCTACAAGCATTTAAACAAAGGCAGTCACACTATAATAATATAGTAAATAATGATTCAGTTGCGAGAGATTTATTACTATTACTATTTTAGGTTAAAAAGAGGAAACAACCAAATTAGATAGGCGACTAAATTGGTTATTATCAAAGTTTGTATTTTAGTTTACATGAATTTTTACGTACTTAAAAAGCCTAATGTCTGCGCTGAAGCTGCAAAGTAAGAAATAAAATTTATTTACAAATCAATAAAATTATTGTCTCCTACGGATCGAAAGAAAAATCGTAATCTTTAATGCTATTGAGGGAAAATGTTATCTCCTAGAAACAGAAATAAAATGCTTGAACCAAAACAACAAAGACATAAAAAAAGGAAATATAAAAGCATTGCAATCGAAAATTTCCCAATAAAAATCTAAAAAGACTCAATCAAAATCAAAACAAATCCTGATAACAATGATTGTTGTTCATGCTGTCTCGTTCATATTACATGGAACAATGGTTGTCAGAGCCTATTCCCAAGAGAGGTTGGACTTCTATTTTCCACCCCTAATTTTGAGGGGGAAAACCCCGGGGGGTAAAAGGTAAACCCTCTGAGAAGAAATCAACCTATATGCGGTCAGGTCGTAAATTTAGAACCCCTTTTTTCACGGGGGGGCGGGCTGAAAAGGAAGAGATAGTCTTGCTCGTGGTCTTGAGAAAATGCGGGGGTCGTTTAAACATCTAACTTCTGTACATTCAGTTTTTATAGAGAGGAAAATACAAATTGAATTCTTGGAAGGAATGCAATTTTGTACAATGAAAATGTATTAGTGAACTATAAACTGTAAGGCAAATAACATCTTCTTTTAAAGTAGGAGTAGAAAGATAGATATTTGTTACATCAATGACTTTGTAGTAAATATTGAATTTTTCATTTTGAATGCTATGTTACATGTATGCGAAGTAGCTGAGTATCTGAGAAAATAGTCTTAACCCAAATGGTTTTCAACCTTTTCACGTCTAAAGGACTGTTTTTCAATTACGTTGTGGTCGCTGCTTTTTGGTTAATTTTTCTAATGACATATAAAAACATTAAATTGTTTTTAATTTGAGACTTATGAATAAAATAACGCAAACTAGACTGCAGAAAATTCTTCAGAATGAAGTTAATAATACTGAAAAATACATTTATCTCCTATTATCCAATTTTATCCTACAACAAATCTTTTAAAAAGTGTGGAATTAGCAGTGCATTAGGTGGAAATAAGGATGACATTGTGTTTTAGGAAAGTGGCAAATCTAGTTACAGTGACAACCTAAGTGAAAATAACTATGATTTTAGCAACAGTGATGACGAATTTCTGGGATTCTAAGAAACGCTGATGTATTTGCTAATTTTTTAATGCAACAGTTCCGTTTTCGTTGTATAAAGTGTTATCATTAAAATAGGTACTTAATTCTTTTCTGTCTAAGTATTTTTCCCCAAGTTTTAATCTGATAAATCACTGCGCGTCTTACAGGCCAGGAAATTGAGGTATAGTATAAATCGCCCTTCATTTCGTATCAGTGCCGACGATTTCGATGAAAAAACGGTACCTTTTTAAAAACGAACTTCTTAACGAAGAAAAACCGTTTTATGTACAGCATAATGTCTAAAAATACCGTCAAATTAAACAGTAATCTTGACTTTAATGCTTTTGTATGCATTTCTTGAATTGATTAATAAATGTAAATTTGTAATTTAAAAAAAATGTATAATATTTTATTTAGTTACATGCTAGTTATCTGTGTTATTGCTTCGTTTCTGGTATAGACCCCCCCCTCCCAGAAAAAAGCGTTTTGCTCCTCGATCGCAAAAATTTCTCGATTTTCCATTACTTAACCAGTGGAATTTCCTAGTTTTCCCCCCAATAAAATTACAACTCTGCTACAACAACTGAGTAAAATATTTGCAGCTATCTACACATAAATTGAATGTTTATTTAAAAATAAAATATTTCCTAATTTTTATATCCCTTTTCTAGTTTATATGAAATTTCAAAATTTAACGATATCAGTTAATGAAATACTTGCAAGTAATATAATGGTTTTGCTGCGAAATATATTCTTGATTCCAAACCCTTACTTGCTAGGCATCAGCCCATCGCTCTTAGAATACATTATTAGTTCAAAGGGGCAATTTGCCCAGAAGGATTATTAATTTCATTTTGGCATTTTGCGTTGAAAACTATAAACGGCGAATCACTTTTCAAATTGTTGCCACCAAATATTATCGCCCTGTATTATATTTAAAGAAATTAAATAATGAAGAGTCTGCATGAATGTATGTATGTTTTGATAAAACGACGGTACCTAGAGCCATCAAAATTTGAATAACGTAATCTTCCATAGAATATCGGCGTGTGGAAGCCCTAATTTGAATTTAAAATTTGTTTTATTATCGATTTCATATTTTATAACACCAACGAATTTTTGATTAACAAACTCAGCGATTTCAAAGCGAGCAATGGCAACACTGTACGAAAAAAAAAAACATTTTTATCTCCAGCGCGCGATATATATTCCTGATATACTGATACTGAATGAGACCTAAAAACACTTTTCTTTTAAAATATATCTCCCCTTATGATCCCTGACACAGCCGTTTACTTTCCCCTTTCGTAATTAACGTCAGTCTCCTGCTCTTGACCGCATTTGCAAAGCCACCATTTATTTAAAAAATTTTTAGAGACATTAGGTATTTGGGAAGCAGCAAGATGAAATTGCACCCCCACCGGGATCGAACCCGACCTCTGAAACCGGCCAGTGTGCTGACCACAACACCACGAAGGCACGCTAGGAAAGCGGAAGAAATACCTTATATACTTCCCTTTTTTTTTTAAGGGCGACTAGGGTTTTAGAGGACCTAATCGCCAAATCCTGGCTGCGGAAAATCCCACCACAACCTTTTAGTTCGGGCGCCACTGTAGAGACATTAGGTATTTTTGGAAGCAGGCAAGATGAAAAATTAGCAACCGTATTCGCCGGGAATCGAATCACGGACCTCTGAAAACCGGCTCGTGTGCTGACCACTCCCACGAAGGGCGGAAAGCGAGAGAAATAAGAAATTCTCTTTTTAATTTTTCCCCCTCCTACCTTCGGGGGAGGTCAAGGGTCCATCGGCCTCCACTATGTAACCCCTTGAAGGGGCGGATGAAAACTGATTGATTTCGCGGAAACAGAATGGTGACACCCGTAAACAGGAATCGCAGAACCATGAAGACGCCGAAAGCCCCCACGAAGACAACTCTTCTCTTGGCAGAGTTCGTGCTGTATATCAAACCAAATTAAAGAAACTTTCATTTACCTCTAATGAGCCCAGGGAGTTTCGTATTCAAACCTAAACTATCAGAACGAAAATTAAATAAGTTAATTATTTAACTTCAGAATAGAACTTTCTTACAGAATCCAATTTTAATTTATCCCCAATTCCAAAATCTGAGCTGATAATCATGTAATAAAAATAGATCGATAACTTTGAAATCAGAGAACTTTTATGACCTTCGACCAGTAACGAGAGGTAAAATCGTGAATATTGTATTTGGACTG